ACCAAGCCATCCAACTAACCATTTCCCATCTCGCAAATAACCAAAGAGAGAAAAAAAAAATCTCGAGTAAAATTTCCCTTCTCAATTTATCCCCCGAAACCCCCCAATAATTGTTAAACACCCCGTGAAGTGGGTATGCAAAGTGACAGGAACCAACTAACCGTGCTAACACCCCTCGCCTCACAGGGCTCCGAAATTCTAAAAAAGCCTAGGCCTTCTTTGTGGATCCATCGCATCGCTAGAGGGATGGATTTTCCTTCGGTTGATCCGGGGTTATGTTGATTAGCCAGAGAATCCCTGTCAGGAGGAATGATAACCCAGAGGCGAGCTCGGCGAGCAAGACGTCCAAGGTTTCGGAGATGAAGTGGATGATGTGGATGAGATGCGTGTATGGTGGACGGATCAACGATGATCGGAAAATCAATCTTAATTTTCGACGATCAATTGCTGGTTGTTGGTATGCGAATGTGAGAAGTGGAGTCTTTAATATATGTTGGGTGTCATTTCAAGAGGATGGGAATGTATGGGATTTTGATGGGATTTTGGGTTTCGACATGGATTTGTAGTACGACGATTAGATAGATAGATCAAAGTAAAATATATTAAAAAGTCAACAGCAATGTATGAGATCTTAAGATATCGGAAATGAATATAGATTGATATATATCGAAGAGGGGTAATCATGGTAGTCCAAAAGAATAATCACAAAAATAATCTATGTACAAATAGATGCTCCATCTAACCCCAAACCTTTCCAGCCGTGCAAAACAATGCCAAGTATTTCCGATTCCAAACGCCCAGCTATTGGGAAAAAAATCAAAAAATCCCTGTTCCCCATTTCAATCTCTATCTTAATCTCACAAAGACATGTTATCGTGCAAGATAGTAACCGCCTCGTTCCATCCCCTGCTAGCTGCGATATCGCTGACCGTTCTCCCCATCTCATCCTTTGCCTCTAAATTGACTCCCGCTTTTCCCGCCACCAGCTTCAAAATTTCGGCATCACCATTCTCAATCGCTTGCATAATAGCGTTCCAGCCTCGGTAGATTTTATTCGGATCTGCACCATGATCTAATAACAATTCAATCATGTCTGTCTCGCCTCCCTGGTAACGACGAAGTGCTTTGACGATAGGTAAATGCTCACCAGGAGCATTGATATCTGCACCTGCTTCATTGAGAAGGTATTTAACGATTTCAATGCGATCTTCGCGGATGGCTGTTGTGAGAGGCGAAAAGACTCCGCCGTTTTTGTCTTCAACTGATACACCAGCTGCAAGAAGTAACTTAACGGATTCTAATTGATTTGCATGAACTGCCATCTCCAAGACTCCTTTGTAAGCACGAGGTTCCGGCATCACAGATAGAATGCGTTTGAGAATTTGAGGACTGCGAACTGCCATACAAACAGGCCAGTCTTGACCTCGAACATTGACGTCTGCTCCACGTAATAAGAGGAGATCAATCATTTCGAGGCGTTCTTCGCGGATAGCGGTTGTGAGAGGTGACATTCCTTTCGCGGATTTGTCGTTGGGGTTGACACCTTGGTCGAGAAGCCAATTGAGTGCTTCCATGTTATTGCAACTTACTGCCATTTCGGCAATACCTTTGGGACTGTGAATGTCTGCTCCGGCACTTACCAAGGCGGGGAGAAAATGAATTCGGTTATGGGTAACACATTTCCAAGCCGGATATTCACTTGCCATGGTGTTAGGATCGGCTTTGTTGCTGAGGAGGAGCTGGAAGATATCTGGTCGGTCGTCTCGGATTGATGTACATAATGGAGTGTATACGCCATCTTTCTTGGCATTGGGATCAACGCCATGTGTAAGGAGAGTACGGACTGATTCAATGTTGTTAATACTGGTCGCCAATTCCATGATTCCTGGACATTTTTTGGGATCCGCTCCATGTGTAAGGAGATATTGGAGACAAGCGGTTTGGTAGGTTGCAGGCCAGAGCATGTGTTTCGGTCCTGGGAGATTGGGATCTGCCCCATTTTCTAATAATATAGAGACAATGTCTGCTCTTCCACATGTAATGGCTTCAAACAGAGCGGTCTTTCCCTCCTTACTTTTAGCATTGGGGTTTGCACCGTATTTGAGTAGTAATTCCATGAATTTTTTAGATGTCCTTTTGTTGATAGAAGCGATGAGAAGCGTATCGCCATTCGAGGTAGAGAGATTGGCGTCGCCATTATAAATCAAGAAGAGATGTGAAAAGCCGACCATGTTCTGCATAACTGATACAACAAGAGGTGATTCCATATCGATACCAGCAACAAGATTAGGATCAGCTCCGTACTTCAGAAGTGTGGTAGCTCCAGCCAGGAAGGATTTGTCAACAGATGCTCTTAGAGGTGTAATTCCATCTCTATCATGTTCGTTTGGGTTGGCGCCAAAAGTAAGTAGTAATCGTACACTCTCCGCATCATGAGCTAGAATTGCCTCTTTAAGGGCATTGACTTCTGACCCTGTGTTTGCTGATACACCACCATCCAATAACTTCTCTACGGCTTTGTGGTTTTTGTCGCGAATAGCAGAGATCAAAGCAGCCTTCATAGGTCCAGTATTTGAGCCCGCACTACCTCGAGGACTCCAACGAGGCATGTTGTCGGGATCTGCCTTGAGTCGGATTGCCTCGGAATGGTTTATTATCAATCCATCGACATCCTTGATGAGACTGCCAGATTCAATAGTCTCGGTATGCGATCGGGCATCATCAAGGTGATGGTTCATATGATGATTATCAAAGGAGTTGATTAAGTCTGTATAGGATCTCTCGCCGGAATCATGCGAACTGATGGTTTGTGGACTCATGGGAGTATGAACACTATTCGTATTATATCGTTGAAGGTTTGAGCCCAGAAGTAGGGAAGCATCTCTAGCAGATGCTCTATCTCCAGCAGATGCTCTATCTACCAAAGGCTCAGGGTGCTGACTGGAAGATGTTCTACCGGGCCATCCGTTGGTGGGTAGTGGGGGAAGAGGGAAATTTGGAAGGGGCATTTGTGGTGCTTGGACGTTGTAATGGCTACTAGCATCGCCGTTTCCTAGTCCAAGAGGCGACGGCATGATTGGCGTAGAACTTGAGCTGTCTGAAGTCTTGCTGGGTTTGCGTCCAGCCTTTTCGTCCATTCTATTGAGCGCCGCAGCTAAGCCAAGGTAGCCAATACCCAACTCCTTTTCAATTTTGTCACTTCCCAAACTCCATTGGAAAACCAATGCGCTCATCCTCAAATCATCCCTTGTTTTACTCAATGTGCCGGCCATTTTTCTGATATCATTAGGAGTGTTACTGAAGATTTTCCCCCAACCTCGCTTGAAACTTCCCACATTTTCATGTTGAAGAAATTTAGCAAGCAACTGGTAGAACACTTGGAAATTTGCTTGGGTAGCTCGAAATTTGTGATCGAGCTCTGTTATCATTTCGATAGGGAAGTTTTGTACATGATGATTGCATTCTTCGAGTCCAGCTTCGATTGAAAAAAGGATGTGACAAGTGTCGAGAAAGTCATGGGCGAGGGCTTCGAAACCTTGAGGTAGCTCTTTCACCGTTGTAAGGTATTCCAAGACCCTAACTGAAATGCGATCGCTGAGAGCGGTTGTCTTCAGGCAAAGCTGCATACATTGTGCTTGAGCCTTGGAGAACTTTCCTGAATTTGGCGTTGGTGGTGCCATGATTTGTTTTTGCTGCGGGGGTGGCGCAAGATTTCTAGGTATTGTTTTTTCGGGAAGAGTTCTTTCAGCCAATGTTCTTTCGGGAAAAATGCTATAAGTGTTGTGATTGGTACTTGGACTATTGGGTGATAATGGTAAGCCCAATTCTCCTTTGGATAGAAGTTGAAAGGAGTCCTTGGAGCTTAATGAGAGAGCTTCAGCGAATGAGTATTCAGCGGCCTCGGCTCTTTGCCTGGACACTGCAGCGGCCTGTGTACTCATACTGATTTGGGAGAACTGAAAAAGAAAGTAAATGACCAATCTGTATTCAGAGAAAAAGCAATAGAAGGTGGAGAACGGGAGACTTTTATGATTATCATTTCGTAGAATTACAGTCCCCGGACTGTTGGGATTTTCGCCCTCAGACCTCTCACAGTACAGGAGATATTTGAATTTGATTCGCCAACAATTGACGAGCTCGATCCATTTCCAGTTATCGCCATTAAAATCTTTATCTCTGATTTACCTACAAACGCAAACTCTAATATAAGCCCAAGCTATTGAGTGAAAATAATCATGGAAGTACCAGTGATGGACTCGCCGAAGGGTTGGATTCGTATTGTCATAGGCTATCTTTACCCAGATCTCTCTTAGTGTTAATCTTATGTCTGGGTTTAGATCAAAGTCTAGCCCACTAGGGATAGAGTGGAGTTCATCGCACGAGCTGAAATACGCGAAGTGGGTAATCAGCGCAAGGATAAAACCGAGATGCAAGGAAGGGCACAGAAAAGGACACCATGAAAAGCTCAGGGTCCAATGTTCACTTAAAGTGCCTGTTGGGGAACGGTTGGCTGGTTCGTTTTCAAAAGATGGAGATCTAACAACAATTGGTTGATGGCTTGATAAAAATGATTCGCAATTTCAAGTATCATGGTACATATGTACCGTCCCGCCACTGCTTCATTTCGATTGTGATGGAGCTACAGCCGTTCAGTCAGATCCAAATCATAGTTTCCTTGAATTTCCAAAATCCAATCATGAAGTCCATCAAATTACTCAAATATCGGTTCAATGGAAAACAGCGATCAAGCATCAAATCCATTAACTCAATTAGTCACCGCCCGGTCCAACCATGTGTGAAATCTTGTAAGTCTGTGTGTCTGCGTATAGTCGGCGAGTGTCAAATTTCTTCCTGGAACGACCGTAGTGGGATTGTAATGAGGAGGACTAGTACCAAATAGATAACAAAGAAGCTGAAATTAAATAAAAAAGGTCGGAATTATGATTAGCTCAGTCCCTAATGTAATCGCCGATGTTCGTGGAAAAAAATTGCAAAATGCGCTAAGTAGTGCTCGCGTTCGATGATTCATTTTCCATTTCAGCAAGTTTTCCCGATGCCTTTTGCAAACACTGCCATCTCACCCCGCTGAAGCCAACAATACTATTGAATGCCTTATCCCTTCCCCTCATATTCTCGAGTAGTACAACCACATGCCCATTTTGTCTCGCACTGTGCATGTCGCCACCAGCTTCCCCGCGAAACTTCAGCTCTAGTTTATCCTTTCCAATAGTCATTTTCGCTAGTGAAGCTAACAGCAAATCTTTCGTCTGTTGTTTCGACATTTCGATTAACTCACTGTATGGTTTATTGAACGATTTGCAGGGCAAAATGTTGGAAACTAAAGCTTCAAAACGAATGGTTTTGGCAGAAATTATGAGATGTCCTGGAACATGATGCAAAGTGCAACGAAATGACAGAAGATCTTTAGATTCTTTATGCATGGTGCCCAAACCGAGAGCTTGAAAATGCATCGTCTCGGCTTTGGGGCTATTTGCATCGTCGCCCACTGGTCCCACCATTACCTCCGGACTTCCGAATCGGTCAGTTGAATTCTCTAATGCGTGTAGGTTGATTTCTTTTAAGGCAGAAGATCCACGTTCCTGAAGATATTGGAGAGACCATTCTGGGTATGTGGGAATATCCCAAAGAGCCCACTTGAGCGGCGAAACCAGCAGGCGATATCGGGGGTATAAAGAGCTGATAGGCCAGCAGCCAAAAAATATAAGACCGGCTACAAACCAGAATACCTTCATGGTGAACTGCATTGAAGCACATGCACTAAGTAGAAACACGGCCGAAAAAAGGAAAAGAGAGTGAAATGTGTTCTGCGGGCGGCGAAAGTGAATAAAACTGTCGTAGACCTCAAGTAAGTTGGCCAAATCTGCAATTTGTAACTGTAGATATGGGCCGAGTTTTTCCAAAAGAGGGCCTAGCCAGTCTTTGTTTCCATGCTGGTCCATGAGCTCTCCGGCCTTCAAAGCTGTAGTTCCTCGATCAATATTTCTTGAGAATTCATCCCGCAACGCGGACACCGATGAAGGGTAATAGTAGTTCTTTGCAGTCGCGTAGACAATATACGCATACTGAACACAAAAAGGTTAGAGAAGATACTTTGTATCCGAAACTTACTTACCAAGAATGACATGATATATGATGTATACCAAAGCAATAGATATGATATCAACCATTTAGATGTTCGCCATTGGTCCTCCCATCTGTAAATCTTCCTGATATCTACTGCGAATTCCTGCAATGGAGCACTAACTATAATCAGTCTTTCTACGTGTCTGCGGAAAGTGTCGATATCGAAGGGAAGCTCTTCAAAATCATCGATGTATTGCGCGGCGAAAGGGCGTGAGCCATGAAGAAGTTTCTATTGACCACTTAGAATGAGGTTGATAATTTCAAAACTGTGCGGACTCACATATCCAATCCATTTTTCCCATTTGAATTCTGTGAACCCATGATCATCCTTCCTTTCAAAATGCTGTATGGGCGGGAGTGGTGGAGGAATATTATCAACAGCTCGAACACGGTGAACATGTCTGGCGGTAACCCAAGCAACACGCATTTCCTCTCGAGTTCGCTGGATCTTGTCAACCCTCTTTTCGAAGTAGTATATATTATTTATATGGTCCTCAATCGCATCCTCATCGTCGCCAGCATGTTGAGCGTCCTTGGCTTGCTGTAAATCGTCGTGAGCTTCAAGGAAATCAAAGTTTGCTTGATTTGAGAGATATGGTCGACTTTTGGCCAATTTCCCCGCAGTTTGTCTTGTGGCTTTCGATTTGATTGACGCGATAGGGTGAGCTATAGCGTCTGCAGTCCCCTGCAAGATGTTTTTTGTTCTTTCTACTCGCGATCCATTTCCCAATCTGGAGGTATTTAGTACCTTGTCTGCGTCGAAAGCTGGGTTCTGATTGATCTCCTCCACTACAGCGTCGAAAAATTCGTCCTCTTCACTATCTTCGGATGTGAAATTGCTACCGTCAATCCTCAACAGGCGTTTGGCTTTTGCCTTTGCTTTCGATCGTATGCCATCGGCTTCAATGTGAAGTGATGAACCACTCAGGATTTGGGAGACCAGAGGTTCCCCATTACGCATCATAATCTTTCGATTGGTTTCGTCGCAGTAATTACCTGGCTAGGTAAAGGATATTGTTTGACTCTGATCATTCTCGGGCTCGAAAGATATTTATCGACCTTATCAAAGGTTCCACCGATGGTGATGATACCGGTATCTGAATGTAAACACAGGGTATTTTCCAATAAGCCAAGAAAGGCAATGGCCTCTATATTACTGCGAGGCTGAACGGGGCTGTATTGCCTCTGATGACGATGCCGTTGGTCGACTTTGCGGCTGCACGAGGAAAGTTTGGCTGTGGCTGAAGCTACCCCACCAGCATTCTGTGGCTCAAGATATCAGGCTCAGCCTTGCCTCAACCTCTCTTTCCTTCGAGCCTCTAATCTATTCTCAAGATCGACCTCCAATATTACCTCAGAATTGGACTTGTACTTTATGAAGTCACTATGTCCCCTTTCCAGGCGTGTTTGCAACACGAAGAGTTCATTATGTCGCACTCCCAAACGATCTCTCCTGACGCTGGCGATTGAGACTTCGTGCGATGATACAAGCGTTTCCATTGTAGAGAAGCATGAAAATAATTCTGCCACCTTACACTTCAATTCTAAGGTTACATCGGACAACAGATCATTTGGAGGAGTGTGGCCTATCGCAGCACATGAGTCTCATCAGAAGAACTTAGCACAATTGGTGAAAGAAGCTATCAGGACTCTACCTCGACAAGACTCCACGGGTGCATCATTTGAGAACACTATAGCCGTCGCATCACATCATGGACCTAAGTCATACAAAAAGCCAGATTTCATAACCGTGACCCGAGGCCCAGGGATGCGAGCGAATCTCATCACTGGTATTGATACTGCGAAAGGTTTGGCTGTGGCATGGCAAATCCCTCTATTAGGTGTGAACCATATGCAGGCGCATGCTCTAACGCCACGAATGGTTTCCGCCCTTGAAGCGGGAAACAAAACTGGAAACGAAAAGTATGAGAATGATCCTTCATATCCATTCCTCTCTTTGTTGGTGTCTGGTGGACACACCATGCTTGTCCATTCTCGTCAACTTTGCGACCACGAAATCTTGGCAACAACCTCGGATCTTGCGGTTGGAGACATGGTTGACAAGACAGCACGAGATATTTTACCAGCTTCTGTAATTGAATCTGCATCGGATGTCATGTATGGACGTGTTATGGAAGAATTCGCATTTCCTACTCCCAATTCCACATATGATTACGAGCCCTCTCAAAAGAGTATTGCACAGATTCCAAGGCCAACAAAGTATGAATGGACATTAACACCACCCTACATGAGTACTGGTCATCGTCCATTAAAATCTTACAATTCAGAATTCTCGTTTTCTGGTGTCGGAAGCCAAATCAAGCGCATTATGAACCGTAATCCAGAAATGGATGTTGTAGAAAGGAGATTACTTGCTCAAGAGACTATGAGAATCGCATTTGAACACCTTGCTTCTAGAGTGATTTTAAATCTTGAGCGCCCAGATTTGAAGGAAACAAAAACCCTCGTTGTCTCAGGAGGTGTTGCTGCAAATCAGTATCTGAAGCATATATTGAGGTCATTACTAGATGTTTGGGGGCATAAGAATATGAGGTTATTGTTTCCACCTCCAAAATTCTGTACAGATAATGCAGCTATGATTGGGTGGACAGGTATCGAAATGTGGGAAGCTGGCTGGAGGAGCGATTTGGATATACTGGCGGCTAGAAAATGGCCAATCGACCCCAGAACCGAGGGTGGGATACTTGGTTTAGATGGCTGGAAGAATGAAATTATTTAGGTTGGCTTTCAAAGTCTCTTCCTATGGCTGCTCAATCATATGACGATGCTACTTCCCGAGTATCGACATGAACGGACTTGCGCCGAGATTGCAGCCCGATATCTTCTCAGTTTCTCCCTGGTGTTCCCTTGGTCTTCTTCTCCTTACCGAATTTTGACTTTCTATCAAGCCCCAGAACCTTCCTGATCGATGTAATAGTATCTAGAACACTCCCCCCTTCACTCTCCCTTTACGTGCCATCCATCACAAACCAAGCTGGCTGAGCGATATTTGTGTGGCCTTCTACTTTGCAAACTAATTTTGGAAGATACTCAACGGTAGGTAGCTTAATTCACAAAGTATAAATCAACGGTCCTGTTTGATGTGTCAAAGCAAACTCAACCCTCCGTTGAGCGAAGAGTTTACCAGGTCCCATGATGAAAGTGGATACAGAATTTAGTAGAATGGAGATGTAGTTTGCATAACACCAGCTCAAGTTCCAGTTTGCTTTCTATTGTCATTGATAGCTCTTTTGTGCAATTCTTACTCGATTTAGAGTGTAGAACGATTGATTGTTGAAAAACAGAAAGTTAGTGGACCTAGTCTGTTTGTTGCTAGAAGAGAAATTTTGTTACTGAAGATTTTGTTTGGGTTTGATGTCCTCTATCAAACACAAATTGAAAGTCCTAATAAGGAGATAAAATTGTAAAACAATCGGTCTGACATCATTTTGAACACTTCTTGAACTAACAAATACCAAATGGAGCATTTTCTTCATGAAGTAGTCATAGATTTGTCCTGATTTTCATTGTTGTCTATGGAGCCAAAACATGGGCAAGTCGCCTTGCTGCAGTCTTTTGTTTCTTTTGTTATGATTGTTTGTCTTTTGCCATTAGCATCCATTTTGGAACTCGAAGTATATGGATTGACTCAGGGCAAGCTATTGGAGAAACATTATAATATCTCTACAGAGTTTGTGCAAGTGATGATTTCTATGAGTAACAATGAACTTGTGTGACTAGGACTGGCTATATATCTGGATCACTTTACTCAGTAGTTCTTCCTTCTTGTCAATATCAGGCAATATATTCTTAATTATTCTTTCTGCATATATAAAATTTATACACCTAATTCATATTTTATCAAACTAGACGGGTACTAGCAATCGTAGTCGGCTCTTTAAGCGGCCGACTACTTCTGCTCCCTTGAAGAAACTGATGCTAGTGTTTTGAAAAGTCATCTAACTAGATATTTTTTCTACTTTCACATTGGAGATGAGATTTCAATATCTCATTTCTTCATTTGATTGCTCATTTCTCAATATAATTGCTCATTTATTCATAGTAGTGCTAGTAAATTCGAATCGAATCATCTGTCTATTTACTCATTTCTTTGTTATACTGTTACTCATTTACTGATTTCTTCATCAAATTCCCGAGGCGCTCCCAAGATGAAGAAGATATTCACCATCGTGACCCAAATAATCAAAATCTCACTCGAATCTGTCTATATTAGGCTCACTTCCCGAGCACAAAATGTAAAATTCATGATCAGTTTTTACTTTCTGTCTACAGAAGCAGCTTTTGGAATAACACATTTTCTATTTCACAACATTACATCAAGTTGTACATTTAGGTAAGTTTATTGATTCTTTCCTCATTCAACGTGAATGCCAATTATCTTCGAGTTATTCGACTAACATTGTCAATTGTTATAGAGTTTACTTGTTCTGTACCATATACTGATCGGAAAATGTCTACACCACCCAACCAGAACGGTTCTGGCACTCACAAGGATAGGAAAGTTTCGGGAAATCCTAAAGTTCTACAATCCAGACCACAGGGAACTCTTCTTGTCACAGCTCAACTTGATCAAAGACTACCTGTTGCACCTCCTATCTCGGACAACACTCCACAACATTCATCTATGAATGATGACCAGCAACAAGTCCGAGACGTTACCACAGGACAGAACCCAGAGTCTGTACCTCCTTTCAATTTACCAAGTCTACCATCTCAGAGGCCTGATCCACAAAACCGTTTTGCCGACCCCTTCAAGTGGCAACCACTTCCAGGAGAGCCTCTGAGTCAAGTTCATGGCAGCTCCCTACAGCAAATTGACTGGAGACCACAGAGCTACGCGACATATAGTAATACCAGGAATGATAGTGCAGCTCATGCCAATCCTTTGGGTCCAGACATTTGGGAGGAGCAAAGTTACGCTAAAGATGGTGATGGCAACAGCCATGGTTCCCGTCTTTTCATTCCTACTCCAAATCCTCGAGGAGCAAGCTCAAGAATAAATCAGGTCGACTCTAATCAGCAACTACCTTCATTAGCACATGCTGTCCCACCGACCAAAAATAACTTCACCCAACGACCCCCTCCGTTAGCATCAGCTGCTCCAAAATCCAATAGGAAAAATGCTCCACGATTACCTTCATCATCACAGGCTAGCCAACCTGCCAACGTTAGATCTGCTCCAGAGTTTCCCGTATCATCGCAGGCTAATCCACCTACCAACACTAGCTCTGCCACACGACAATTTATATCAACCCCAGCTGTCACACAGCACCACCGATCAACACAAGATGTTCCATACCCCAGTACCAACTCTGCTCCACAACCACCGACACAAGCTCCCACTACTACCCTCGACCACATCCCTTCCGAAAAAGCCGAAGAGCTTCGAGATAGACTCTTCAAACTCACCTCCGACTACCAACGTCTCTACAGCGTCTTCATGTCCAGCGGAGACGCCAGCCCCAATGCCGCTCATTGGAATTCAATCGACATCGATCTTCCCTATCTCTTCGAAGTCCGTCAACAAATCGTCAGTTTCCTGGTTGCCACCAAGAGATTCGAGAAAGGAGAAGAAATAAAAGATCTGCAGGGATTCAAGGAATCTCAAAAGCCTTTCTTCAAGAATTTGGAGGACGCTGTCGGGGTTGCTGTTGAGAAGATGACTTGGTTGAGGAGAAATCTGGAGGGTCCGGATGGGTATGCTTATCAGCATCAAAATTGGTACTATCAGGTGATTGGGAATAATCCTCGGAGTGGTCGTCTGCCTTCTGCGAAGGGGAATAAGGGAGTTGAGGGTGGAGATGATGGAGGTGGTGGAAATGATGGAGATGCTGGAGATGCTGGAGATGCTGGAGATGCTGGACACGCTGGACACGCTGGAGATGGTGGAGAATCAATTGAGAAGGCTACAAGACATGGCGATGAACATGGCAATTTGGTATCTCCATCGTTAGACTCTGAGGATGAAAGAGAGATGGAAGCGGAGACGGGCATGAACATGTAGTGTTTAAAGGACTCAATGTGTGTTTGGTTTTGTTTCTGGTGGTTCTGTTTAGAGATTGAACTACCCTTGGATGTGACAGTTTCCTAGATACTGGTTATTCAGGGGATTTCAATATTTCTTCACTTTCCCCTGTTAGAGACGCCAGTTAGCATTTTCTCCCATTTCTTCCCAACGGTCTGGAAAATGAAAGGGAGGATTTGTTGTGGCTTTAGATACCTACCGACATATGATAATGAAAAATCTTGGCAATGAGAATCTTCTACATATTTATATTTCAGACTGTTGCAAATGCATAAGTTTGAGAGTAAAAATGTTTGAATAATGAACGATGTAGTATTATCAAGCTAACATTGAGTGCATGTCCAAAGATAAATCAGAAAATCAAGAATTTGTGAAACCCCTCCCTTTTTTTTGTCTTTTGTTGCTATGAGACGCAGAAAAATAGATTCGTCCAACGAAATAAGTAAACAAAGTGGATACATATTTTTTTGGTCTTTCGTTGCTATGGAACGAAGAAAAGTAGATCCAACAACCGAAATAACAAATCAAACTGGATACATAGGAAAGTGTGATATGTCATGTAGGTAAATCACTACAAAGGTCATTGAATAGTAGAGAAGATCAAACTAGGAAAAATTAAGAGACCAGCGGGGCACTCTTGAAGCACCAGAATAGCTCCGCAATTCCGAAACCAAGAAAAATTTCCATGAGAAAACAGCCGTCGCGCATAAGATGGATACTGGTTGCGAGTATGACACGTCAATTAATTACAGGCTGAGAATCAATTGTCCTTGAGACCACCGAGAAGGCGTTGTTGCCACATCAGAAATCCAAGGCCAGCTCTTCTGCACTCCTTTGCAAGTACTATGACATTCAAATGTTTCAGGCTGGGATAGTGATACCACAGATATATGAAATTGACAATGATCTGGCGAGTTTCTCCAAGAACTGAACCACGTTCTTCTTGAGAGTGATCTTTCACCATGTGTTCGAAAAGAACCTCTCGGTGGAAGTAGCCGCTGGCCTGGAACGAACATAACATGCAATTCTTTGTTCCATCGTCCAGATATCGATTGCCAGCGTCTTTAAAGAGGTTTCTTAGATGTTCTATCTCTTGTCGGCGATCAGAAAGCTCATGAGTAAGAAAGTGTGTTTGCATCTTGTATTTGTGGATGTCCTCTTGATCATCAGCTGTGACTCGCCAAGTACAGCCATTTGGTGCCAATGGGCAGGTATCACGACCTCTCAAACGCAGGCGATAGAGCCAAAATGGAACGGAGCGACTTCCAAAGACTGCATAATGTATGAAGTCAAGATTTGGCTGGGTGTCGTAGTCCATGTGGTGTCCCTTGGTCAGATGATCATTCAAGCCTGGGATTTCAAAGGGGGCAGACTGGCAATTCTCGATTAGGCACCGATAACTTCGCGAATTATCATGTTTTCGGAAGTGTTCCATGAACTTGTCTGCTCTTTTAAACGGCTTCGTAGTTCGATGACAGCCGTAAACAGGACAGACTACCTGGAAGTTTTGGGTGTGGATATTCTTGGTATGTCGCTTGAGTCTTGAACAACATTTCATTAGCTATACATTCGCTTTTTGTAATGCCAGGAAAATCGGAAGAATCGATGAGTAGACGTAGAATGATATTATTGCAACGAGTCAGGTTACTTACTCATATTTGCGCGGAAAAGTCTTTTTGCACCCTGGGTAGTCGCAACTCAGTCTGCCCTTTTGCCCTCTTAGAGCAACGTCGTGAGATCTGATATTTCATGTCTTAGCAAACATCCCGATTCTACATGTCATTGATGCTTACCCATGAGTTTCTCCTGGTAATTCTCGGGGACTTGGTGAAGATGACGGTGCAGTGGCTATCTGGCCGGGAATTCTTTCATCATTGACCAATGGGGTTGGGGGAAATTGTTCACTTAGATCACCAGCATCTATGAAGCCAGCCATCGATACCTCGACATTTGGTTCTGCCGGAAAAATCTTCCATTCGCCTGAGTCGAAGCTGACCCGCATATAAGCCTGAGGCTCTGGTACAAGTGTAGCAGCATATGAAGTGCTCAGAAGCGTAGTGTCTAAGGACTCTGGTAACGCTAGCTCACTAGTTTCGTTATTCTTTCTCTTCAAAAGATCGGTATTATAATCTGCGGCAGCACCGAAGTCATATGCTTGCTCGTCAATATCGTTATTCTTCCCCCAAAAGAGCTCGGCATTATGGTCTGCTGCAGCACCGAAGTCGTACACTTTCTCATTTAGTACATGTCCAAAGTAGCCCTAAAATTAGCGTGTCTTTTTTTTTGCCACTTACCTGGAATAATCCAATGATTCCAAAGTAAGAGATCGCCCTGCAGGGCTTCGGGTGTCACTCTCCATCTTATTGGAGAGAAGTTCTGAGAATAAGCAGCCACAAAAAAAGTGAGGCGAGCAAGCGAGTTTGATCGGTGAACGAAGTTCTGCGTATGAACAGAAAAACGGGTGCCAAAACTTCGAGAAATGGTAGTGGGAATAAGCTGGTATCTTATAATTATGATTTTGAAGACAGACCCTGCAATAGGGCGACGGCTTGAATGCAGAAGACAAACCAAGCCTTACAAGAATGTCGAGAGGCTTGCATGAGTCACGTGGATCTTACTTTCTCAACAGGGTCACATGCATAATCTTGATGGTTTGTGAGACGTCGAGTCGTCAGTTTTGTTGGAGCACCAGAAAACGACCGTTCATTTGTCACTGCATTTGCTCGCTGCTGTTAAAAGAAAGTTACCTAGGTATCCGGTATTTCCATGGGTCTAGATGTTGGACCCCTCAACTAACTCGAGATTCAATGTCTTAGCAGTTGTTACATTTTGTCTCTCATCAACGTGCACAACAATCCCGGAGCCCTAGTATGATCGTTCTTCGGTAGCCTGATGGGTGTCACACACTGTCAGAGATATCCGACGAGCTGTTATTTGGAGATATTTGAGATAAACCTGGTGGCATATGCGCAGTGAATCATGAAGATAGTGAAAAGATGCCAAAATATCACAGTCGATTTAGCTCTAAATTGACTGTTCACTTCATATAACGTTCTCATAAAAAAATCATGCTTTGAAGTGGAAGCTGAGTTCCATATTTTGACAAGGCTCCATGATGCCCCTTCCCTTCCTTGGATTGTATGGAATTGTTGCTCGTCGTCTTAATCCATAAGAGCGCGGGGAATCGAACGATTTTTAAAGATAAAGTGAATATATAATCATGCACGTCTTGATAGAACTTAAAATCCGAGCTTAGATTCCAGAACGCTGTCGCAAATATTTTTCAATTTCTTCCTGACGGACAACCTATCCTTAATAATGGCCACGAACAACTTTACCCCTTTTTTAGCTTCATATAATGAGCTTGTCGAGCAGTGGCGGTTGCGACTTCGTATACTAAAGGGCATGGAAAAGAAAGCAGTGGATGATGCAGAGCTTACACGGTTGATTTGGGTTTTCAAACAGTCTTGCGTTGAGTTTCAAAATTTTCAGGTTTGTTTGTGCGGGCTCTCCACTTCTGGGACGGCGATACTAATTTTTTCTCAGACCAAGTTGGATTACTTTAGCGCAGAATCTCCATCTGTTGATCTCTTCAATCACTGGCAAGAACTGAGCTCTGATTTCAATAAGATTCGAGCTTGTTTTGCTGCTCTTGAACTGAGCAATGACAGGTGCCACCGTTCCCGAATGGCTAAACCATCTCGTCTTACCACAGTCGATCCATCTCGCGCATCTGTCGATTTTCCCAATACTTATGACAGCAGATCGAATACTACCAATATGGGAGGCTCAAGGATCCTTAAGAAGAAGCCAAGAAAGCTCATAATCTCCATTCCTGTTCACATAGTCGAGGGTTCGTTTTTCGACGGGTCCAAAAAACCGCGGATTGTAACAAGAGAGCCGGGGGAGTTGACCTTGATCTTTCGAGTGAGCAAAGAGTATCTAAGCTTAAATTCACGACCTCCGGTAGATATGGAAGAGGAAATGCGACTTTGTGAGTATATCAGCATTCTTGTTTACTATCATATCTTGACTGATTCTGATTTCGTACCATAATAGCTGTTTTGCGGTGTCAGAAAGCCGAAGAAGAAGAGGCAAGGAAGCAAGCAGAGGCAACTGTGGAGGCAGCGCGGATAGCAGCGACTCAAAAATTAGAATTTGAAGCAAAAGTTCAAGCCGAACTTGAAGCAGAGGCCCAAGCAAAAGCTGCAGCAGAATCTCAGGCAAAAGCTGAAGAGGAAGCTCAACTTCAGCAGGCCGCCAGCCAAATTCCATTCAATTCTGATGATTCAGCTGGTCTGGAGAGCTGCAAGCAGGCTATCAGTGATGGCACTATGACTGCACCAATGTCAAGATTTCAAGCCCCTGACATGGAGGAAATTCGACAAGCTCTAATCACTACCACGAACCAGATGTACATCAGTCATAAACAAACAGCCAAAGCTTCCATGATCAAGCGCCGAGTTAGGAAGCAGCTCAACCTTGGTCAGAACTTCTTTGAGGAGAATGGTTGGCCAAAACGATGTGAAATAATCATTTTGAGGGCATTCAATGATGCATGGGTGAGTCTTCAACCAAGCACATGTCAAGCACAATTCAGAAATGGGCTTTAGACCTACTCTACAGTATACTAACTTGTTCGGTGTTCTGAATAGTCTTCTGGACTCTTGGGATATTAGATTTAGTCTGTGGGGAAAACTCGTTGATCTCTTTTATCTGAAGTGAGTCATGTCGAGATTACAAGATCCTTCCTATGCTAAATTTTCACTAGAATTCTTTAACGGCGCTGCTAGGTTATCATTTAGGGTTGGAGGCAGAAGTCTATGGAGTCGAGCAATCATTATCGTTACTTGCTAGGAATTGCGTCAATATGTTTTTGCGATTCGTGGTCACAGCTGGGAAAGGCATTCTCCACAGAATATTACATAACATCAATGGGAAAAGCTCATATACGTAGTCTCGAAAGTCAAAACGCATAGTTGATGTGAATGTGATAAAACCTCTCTTCATCTAGTGCAGAGCGCAATTGCAGGTATCTATGTGATGTAGACTGATCTTGACCCCGCGTTTGACGACACGGATTCACTTTACGCCATTCTGAGAATCCTCAAAATATCTTCTCCATTTCTTTTTTAGGAGATAAATAATCTTTATAAAAATCTTCGTGGAGTTATTAACTCACTCTTATTAATCTACCATTAAATTTCTTTCTCGAACAAATCATACTCGCCCGAATTGCAGTCAAAGAATATACAAAGATTGATTTTCTAGACAACACTCTCGTCTACTCTTAAATCTCAATTTCCCACATTAACAGTCAGGTTGGTAAAGCAGATATCATACTTCATTAAGACAAATATTGACTTTTTCACTATAGATTCTTATCATTGACCGACTTTCACGTCCATTGAACAATTCGAACCCCGCCTCATGTCGGCAGATCACCTCATCATTAAGTTACGCTACACCAAAAGCCAGCGCGAAATGATTGAAAAGGCCTTGAATAAGGAAATCATTGTAGCTCGAGAAGATGCCACTGGGGCCACTGGGGGCCAAAACATCAAGAATGATAGACAACCCAATGCACCTAACGAATCACTCATAATCGAAAAAGTGCTATCTCGAATCCGCAGGATTTTACGAAATAGAGACTGTCATGAAAATTTTGATAAATTCAGAGAATGTATCTCCTTTCTCGAACGTGTATTCGAGTGTATTGCCACAGAAGATGGAGCAGGAGGCTCTAGTGGTCAGCAACAATGGTCCGCGAAAGACAAAGATGGCAGGAAAGAGATTGAAGATTCAAAACTCAGAATTGCGCAATTGTTAGCGGAGAATGAGAAAGTAAAGGCTACAAACAACGAATTGATCTGCGACGTTGATAAGAATAAGGCTGAGCTTTCAGAACTGAGAGAGGAGGTGGGACGAGCCAGAGATAATGAGAGTAAGCTGGAGGAGATCACCAACAGTTTAGAGACTTCACGCAACTCCACAGATAAAGCTCTCAATGTCTTGACCTCTCTCAAGAAGAAAGACAATACATACCGAGAGCGTGTTGTTGCATTGAAGAACGAACTGAAGGCATGCAAAAGAGAGAGAGACGAGGCTCTAGAGAATTTGGACCATCAAACCGAGAGCTTCGAGAACGAACATAAGACCTTGATTGATGAGAACACGAAGCTAAAGGCGACACTAACAGGCTTCAAGAGAAAATTGAATTGTGTAATGGAGGATGTGGAGGATCCTATTTCTCGTAAAAAGAGGTAGACTAGATCGTTGCTCGAAATACCGGCTTCCAATGCTTTCTATCACAATTATGGTCTAGGGTTTATTTGCTTTGGTAAAGTGCTTTGAGGGTCAATTCAGAAGTTCTTTCAAGAAGAGTGTTGATGTTACTCGCACTCACAGTCATTATAGTTAAAGGGTTAGCGACACTAGTTTAGTACTTTCAAGCTATGAACTTCTGATCACGACTTCTTAAGACTCACTTCTAAATCTTGATTCGGTGCAAAGACTTCTGACGTTATATTGATACATAAAAGTCAGTTAGGAATCTCGAGGCCTACGTGAAACTTTTTCTTTTTATAGTCAATCATGGATTCTGGCCCAGATAGCGCAAAAGCGAGCATTCGGATGTTGAATCTCATCACGCGACATGATAATGTTCTATAAACTAAATCCAAGTGGTTCTGCCGACATTGAAACCATTTCATCGGCGTGCATCAGACGATATCAACGAGGCTATCACCAAATCTACTTGATACCTGATCACGTTATGTACACTATCCAAGGAAATACACTGTTTTATTCACAAAGCATATATTGCTGTATCAGAAGACACGAGAAAGTCATTTCTGCTTGATAATATTCTTTTTCTCTTTCGTCTTTTACTGTATTGAGGTAATTTCAATGTTCCCACAAAATTTAATTTGAAAGTGAATATATTCAACGCGTCGAACTAGGTAACTTAAATAACTGCCGAAAAAAACATTCACAACAACAATCACAACAACGCGCTTTCGCACCTTTGCTATTTCACAAGGCTGCGGTCAGTCATATTCTTGTGCCACAAATCGAACCTTGCCCAGGGGCCTATCGAAAAGCGAATAAGCGCATATTACCCCTCCTTCCTTAAAATGAAGCAATCCTCCCGCCGTGCGCCTGTTCAGCCGACAGACGAACCCAGCAACGCCATACACAGACTATCTGATGTGGTACCCCAGTTTCAGTCCCTCACCGCATCCTCTGCAGCCAATCAAGCCAAGACAGAATATCGTCGAGGTGAATTCCTTGAGCAGTTAGTCAGTCAGAAATATCCGACAGTGATCGCCGAGGAGAATATTCAGTTTATTCGTGATTCGTTCACCAGCTTCAACGAACAACTTGAGAAACTACATAGGGGTGTGCCATTAGTACCGACGGTACTCAGAAGAAGTGCTAGAAATATTAATGTCAACAATGGCATGAGTGCTAAAATGGATGGGGAGATGGCTATGGATGTTGATGTTGATGACGATAAAGATAGAGACTATAGTGAAGATGGTGGGACTGATTCTCCTCAACTCACCGCGGAACAGGAGGCAGAAGATGAGGAACACTGGCACCAAGCAGTAGATGCTCTCTCAATAGATACGACTATGACCAATTACTTTGTAGAAATGGGTTACCAAATGCCGCCTTCTCCGCCAAAGGAGGAATCGAAAGTACAAGGCCAGGAAGAACTTCGACTCCATAAGCGCAAGGCTCACTCAAAGAAGTGGGTACCAAGTCTTAACAAGAACAACAAACGTACCTCAATGCCACCACCTGATACCGAGCAGATGTTTCATAATCTATCCATACGCAATACTGTACCAGAACAAAATGTTGACACAACCGGTAACCTGGTTGGCGGTTCATTAGAGCCATCGCTTTCCAGTCCATCAATGCCTCCTCCCAAACGTGCCAAGACGGCGTCTTCATCCTCTGCCAGATCGCGTTTTGGACCCAAGCAACCTCCTCGCTGTGCCTCGTGTGTGCAAATGAAAAAGAACTGCGATCGTCAGACTCCTTGCGGAAGATGCTCTGGCATGCGCGATTACAAAGTGTGCATTCCATACTGGAGAGATTTGCAAAGAAATTCTGAAGCAGAGCAACGAGAGTTGGAATTCTGATTCTGGGTGCTTGTGTGCACTTGGTGTGAGTCTTTTGATTTTAGTGTTTGTGAAATAAGTGAACTGATTGGACTACTAGTAGACTGTACCCTGTTTCTCCCTTGAATACGATAGGCCATGATAGTGTTCATTAAGTGGAGGAACGAGATTTTGTCATCTTGTCGATAAGCTGCAGTGTGATTGGCGCATGTCTCACCTTCTTTCTTTGGAAAATTCATACTTGAGAAGGATATATGATCACCTGATGGCTTTTTGGCAGGCTATCCTAACATATGGAAGCACTTAGGTGTGGCCGTTCATGTGTTGGCACAGAGAATGATATTTCCTTTCTTTCATATTCTTTCCTTCGTAATAGATGTTTCTTTTCTTCACTCACGTAATTCCAGACCGTTCTAAGTCTCATGTCATGAATATAAGTAATGTAGATCATAGATAGAATGATATTTCGATGATATCAGCATATTTTGAGGCAATGCAGTGATATTCTGAAGTTTCATGATAACTATGTGCCTATGTCTCACTTCAATGATCATTCATGAGCTGGAAAGTAAATATTTGGTAAATATGATACCACAAGTTCAATTATCCTAAGTATAGCGACGATAGAAGCAAATCTCATAGAACATCATTCTACTCACCGCAATCTCTCCCACTTCTGGCGCAAACAATTTGGGTTCTACTCAGTTATTTGTAGGATTTTCACGTTTGCTGTAGTTCGATGCATTAAACAAGCAAACAATCTCATGATATATGAATACTTGCAACCACGGATCTACAAGTACATATCTTTCTCACAAGAAAATATCCATATTAGTGGTATACCTGCTTCATACCAAAGCAACATAAATGCAAATACTATTTCACCGCTTGCAAAATTTCTCGGTATACGAGGCTGACATCTAATCTGCCACTATTGGGATTTTTCTTTGTCATCTATTCTGCAAGAATAGTTAATTAATCTTTGATCTTGAAGAAAGCAAATTTCATTTTTTTCTCTAACTTCACTCAATGGTCCATGCGCTGTGCCCGTTCACTCTCAACAGTCCTCCTGAAAATACGCGAGCCAAACCACGCTAGCCCGTAATGGAATTGCTCTTGATTTCTTATTGGTTAAGCGAATCGCTATAAATCTAAACCACGCTAAATTGAATTCTGGAACTTGGTATAGTATCGCTGGCCAAATAATTCTTGTGCCCGACTACAACCTTTTTGATTTGATTACCCACGACCATCTCTGCGAGAAACTTCCTACATCCAGAACAATTTGGTAATCTCTACGATGGCTTCCTCAACCTTTTCCGACATGCTAAAATCTCCCTACCACCCCGATCACATTTTCGGTGACGAAGATACATGGTACGATGCTCCCGCCGACTTACCACAAGAAGAAATCGAAGAATATTTTGATGCTCTCGAGAACCATAATTGTGGTATCGGTTTGGCTGTGAGTAATCTGATTAATTTGATCTTACCTCTATGAAAGGCATCCTTTCTAACAGAGGCAAAGACCAATAGATTTGTCAACGATCCAGAATGGAATTATTGGCCTGTACTACCTACAGCCCTTCTTAACGACGACATCATCATCTTTGTTACAGACGAAAATCTCCGTCATGATGCTCCGGAATACATTCAACTTCAGGCTATTCGCGCAAAACTTTCGAAGTTACATGAGGATCATGAACGCGATATCCAGTTAGAAGACCACATTATTAGTATGACGCTCAAAAAGCTTTGGGCTATCACAGAAGCCTTATACGAGCCAGAAAATATTTATACTGGTTCTGATTACAAGAGAAAGAAAGATTTGGTACTGGAGAGAATTAATGAATGTTCTCGGGCAAAGGAACGTCTTGAAACCGAATACACCGACACCTTCTCAAAGCTTGCGAAGGAAGCGCGAGCAATCTCACAGGAATGGCAGAAGGATCGCAGGGAACTCGAAGCAGAATTGGCCGAACAACAGATGCGGGCGAACAACTCAGAGACACAAAATCGTCTCCAAAATTTACTGGGAGAGAAGGCGGAACTGGAAGGCAGATTGGTTTATCTTCAGGCCGACAATGAGTTACTTGAGACCCGCATGGATCACTTTCAAGAAGCTTATAAGCATCTTCGAAGAGTGAGAGAGGGTGTATTGGGAGAACAAAATCAGACCATGAATCGTGCGATCAAACAACGAAACGATGAAAGAATTCGAGTTCGAAATCTTCAAGCCCATCTCAGGGCTCACCGTGAAGCGATTATCCTCGAAAGACGTCAACGGAATATTGCGAGAGAGAACTGCAGTGCTTTGCTGAGTAATCTGGGTAGGGAAAGAGAAGAAATGACATTGGTGAAAAGAGATCTAGTTGAGGCGAGAGCTCGGGCAGATTATTTGAATCATGGAGTTGATCTGCTCAAAATGAGGTTGAGTGATCAAATAAACTGGAGTGATGTGCTGGAGATGCATGCAAGACAAGGAGAGGTATTCAACAGGATGGATGGAGCATGGGAGCCTTCAGTTTTTAAGCGTAGACTCGAAGAGTATGAGGATCGTGAGATGGAAGAGAGAGCAGCGAAACGTGCGCGTCGCCATTAGTGGTGTATGACTAATGACTCACATGATTGGTGTATTTCCTTGATGGCAGATAGATACAATGTTCAAGAATATTATATGATTAGTTGTACTCCTTTACATTGATACCACGACCAATTCTTTCAAGATCTTATTTCCTTCATGGTTGCCATAGTCAGACCTGCGATGTACTTAATTCTGCCATCAAACTTCATATTAACAAGCATGATTTTGGATTAAGGCACTATGCCGATTACTTTTCGTCTTCGAGAAAATATCCCATCATGAATTAGCGCATGGTTTCAAAATGTGATACAGAGAGCTTTTGAGACACTTCAATATATATACAGACCTGTGAGGTGGACTGGAGATACAAAACTACTTCAGCGACCTTTGTCGTTCTCAGAATTCGGATGCGAATAAGTCCCACTTGGCAGTTCAAGGGTTTCCGCAAATCCAACCACAGGTGTCTTTCTTGATATATATCTCAAAGTTCATCTTCGATATCAATCCTCTTTCATTCGTTCGTTGTTGCTCAGTTCTCTCATTCTACCATACACCTGTCCCAATCATCAACATTATCTACAACCGTGTCAATAAAAACTCCGACTGCTGTTGAAGCAAAAGTGGTGAATCATATGGCTACCCGCCACCATGATCAAGCTCAACCAGTACGAAGCCTCGCCGTATGCTCGAAAGGCAAATAGAATGATTCTCAAATTGACCGTGTTGAATAATACGGCATTTTCATTGTCGCTAATCACTCACAAACAGCCAGCGTCGCTGTACTATATGAGAGCGTACTGAAATATGATCTTTCATCTAACTTAAAAGCATTTCTTCGCGCCAGTTTGACTCTGATTCTTTACAATAAGTTTCTTGACATCGATTTGACTTGATAACAGAGAGAGTTTAACTTACAATTCCAAGACTCCAACACATCATTTCTTTACAATATCTAACAAGATACTTATCGGATCTACTACATCATTAACTATAAATACATCGATTATCACAATGTCTACTTCTTCTCGACCAAGAGACGCCGCCTCACAAACTGTTGAAGATATATTCTTCGATGCTGCCGAGGAGATATTCGAGGACGCCTTGGAGAACCAAGAGCTTAAATACATCGTAAGTTCGCCCTCACTCCCAGAAACATATCGCTTTTTCTAACTGCTTCACAGGAACCACATCCATATCTTGCCGATCCAGAGAAAAACTATTATCCAGATCTTCCAGCAATTTCCCTGCGAGATGAAATCCAAAATTTCAATGCTCAGGAACCAGCTCCCTATGACGAGGATGATCCTGAGTATGAAACGCTTGCGATGGTTGAGGATTTACTCACCGAATTACAAGAATATCACGAGACAAAGATGAGGCAGGAAGACAGCAAATATAGACGTGTTATGGCTCTCTATGAGAAAGTCATCAACCGCGCACATGATCCTTCGGAGATGCGTACACGTGAAGCTGTCATGAAGGAGAGAGCATTGTATGTCAGACGCCTGAACGAAATTGCGAGAACTCAGAAACTCCTGAACAGAGAGTACTTGGTTGAATTTAGAGAACTCAAACTGGATGGAGGTGCCATCATGGATAAATGGCATTCAAGACAAAGCTCGCTGGCTGCAGTCCCTCACAAGCTGGTCGTTGAAGAACATGTTCGCTGGACAATGCTTAGACAAAAGCAACTTGAGTACTTCCACGATAAGACGAAGAATCTGGTCAATGAACAGGCCAACCGAATCCGACAACTTGAGTATGCACTCGCGAGAGCCCAGCAGGCACCCGAAGATACTCCATACGACTATCATACGACGACTAGTGTTTTAGCTGACGCATATCAAATGATGTATCAGCAACGAGTGAACCACGGCGTCCAGAATGTTGTACAGCCCAGTGCAGTTTTGGGGCAATCCGATGATGTTGCAGCTCCAAATGGGCAAGAGCAAGTGAGTGCAGAAGAAAACCTTGCTCAAGCTCAACAACCACATGATTTCCAGAACCAAGGAAATACGGAGCTCGTGACGGATTCTGGGGAAATTGACCCATCTGCAATCGCAGATGGCCAACAAGAGGCCGTCCACAAAACAAACGTTCCTCAAGCAAGCCAAGCATGGAATTCTCAACACCAGAAAAGTTCAAATCTCGTGGACAACGCTGAGAAAAGCGGCGATGATACCATCTCAAATGGTCAAGCTGAAGTGATCGAAGAAGGAGAGATTGCTGAAGTAGAGCAGTCAGTCGATTTCCAACAGCAGGAGATTCCAGAGCCAGATACAAATCTGCCTCAGGATCAGTCTAACTTCATGACACCCAATGGCCAAGAAGAGCCTATCGCTACTGGAGCCAACATTTTCGAAGGACAGGAACATGCTGCTGACAACACACAAGTTGTCCAACAGCTAGCAAATCCTTTACCTACCCACCCTCTAGATGCTGCAGTCCCTATCATTCCAAATCAACAGGTAAAACAACACAGCTACGTCAATTTTATGGAATACGCTGAAGATCCAGGCCGCATGTACCCCTTACATTCTAGCGATCCAATCAAGAAAGCATGGGCCAGAAAGAAGTTGGATCTAGACTTTGAGAAGAAAAAGAAAGATACCATAGATGAGACCATGCAGACAGGAAGAAACGAGGCTGCATTGGAGAGGTGGGCCGAGACAGTCAATAATCTCTTCCAAGAAGCCTCATCAGATCGCCGTGCTACAAAGCACATGATCCAGGACTTCGACGAGAATGAAGAATCCGATGACGAGTATGGCCGCAAGCGCACTTTCGGCACATACGAAGAAGATGATGAACGTGAAGAGGAACACAGCAGAAAGCGTGTTCGCTCAATAAACACGGTAGGTTCACCATTACTTAACTATTGCCAAGAATTGTTACTAAATTAAATACAGATCCCTCGTGGTAGCCCGGCACCTTCACTTGTTTTTGAACCCACACCGGATGATTCCTCTGATGACGAAATGTGGGAAGAGCCAGCTACTGGATATGTTGGTCACGATGGCGTGTACTATGACCCAGATGGACGACGCCAACACACGCAGGCTGATGATGGACAAGAATATTTCGAGCATGATGTCAATGATGGCGGCTTCCCTGTCCGCGATTATACTCCACCTTCGCCACAGCAGCAAAACCCAAGCCCTTCAAGTGCTCCGGCTTCGAGAATCAGATCATATGCTTCGAGATTCGCTGCCACTAGGCGCAATGGTTCAGCACCCGCTAGACTTAGAAGGGAGCGAATGCTACGAAGTCAATGGAGTGAATGGCAGAATAACCGAAGTAGCCCAAAATAGGAACTCTATTGACGACATGGGAGTTCAGGTTGAGAAGATGTCGCAGGCTTGATTGTGGGGGCTAGGTATGGGCTATGGGTCGCAAGATTAATGAAAAGTTATGGCAAATCACTTCGGGATGACTTGGGATCTTGTAATTGTATTAAGACATGGGGGCATTTTGGGGATAAAGGGATGATTATTGAAAAGTGGTGGAGGTATTTGGGACATCGCGAGCTTGTGTAGTCACTACAAGGAAGGCTGGTAGCATGGCCATATAATATCTGTGAGAAAATTCTTTCCTGATGGCCCTCAGTTCGCATAAGGCAGGAATGGTTGATTCTTCTTGCCCCTCACTTTTGTTATTTCTTTGCTCTTGCTTTTTGCTTTAGTTTTTACACAGCGGCAGGAATGATACATATACATACATGTATCTAAATAGCATAAAATGGAAGGAATCACCTTCTCCCAAAAAAATACATATCAAAATTCAAGTCCTCTTCTGCTTAATCTCGTGAACAACAATTAATTAAATCTTCTCATTTCAACCATCCACAATAACTTTGGGTAGAATAATATTGTTTAATTCATTCCTGTTCAAAATAGTCTTCACAGCTTAATCAACTCGAACGTCAAGTCTAAGCTACACGATGGCTGAACTGACTCAGTGCCCCAAGCCTGGCTTCTGGGCTGTCTTCATGGGACTGGCTGAGCAGGCTGTCTGGTATGTTTTCATTGCTCTCAGAATAGAATTAATCGTGACTAAGACATTCCTCATGCTAACCATTCATCAAAGTGACCCCTCAGAATTCAGCAATAAAGAAATTGCGGAAACGGTTGCCTCACTCAGTATCGAGAGTACAATGTCTCCACTTCCATTTGAGATTTCACAAATTCTTACGATGGTGCTCGGCTTCATGGTATTAATGCAATCATCTCTCCTCACGAGTCCATCGAATCTTTTGTGGTTGATGAAATCCATCTTTTCGATTTTATACGAGTACATCTTGAAACCTTACATTACGTTCTTTCAACTCGTCGGTCCTGGTAAACTTCTTTATCTTGCCGTCGAAACATCGTCAATTTTCCTTCTCATCGCTTTCTATTATCTATACCGTGGTTCTATTGCAGGCTTGGGATACGGAGTCAAACTTCACAGACCCAGAGAGGCACAAAGTATCACTGAAATCCCGAACATTGCTCCAAATTGTCAACTCAGAGAATGCACTATCTATCTCTCGGCATGGTGTAACATGCCTTTCAACTTGAGAGCTATGAAGACCAACATAGTAAACAAGTTCGGCGATAAAATAGAGGTTTATAAAGGAGATGAAAAATTCCATTTGGGATGGAAAAGGAGAGTCAGGTTTATTTCTACGGAATACATTCCCATATTCAAAGAGATGGTAGGAAATCTATGTGCCCGTCTCAGATGGACTCATGCAGCTCTTTTATTGCTGCTTGTGTTGATCATACAGATACCAGCCGTGTCAACGAATGCTCAGTTAATACCAGGCATTGTTCTTCAGTGCCCTGGTTTGGCGGCAGGAGTGTTTTCCACCTGCTATCGGTATATGGAAGCAGCTGTGATAAAGAAGGCTCAATTAGTACCAGGAATTTACAATCAATGCCTCGTTGCGGCAAAAGAAGTACTCCTCCTCGGCTACCAGTATCTGAGAAAATCCTTTTTGGAGTCTACGGCGAGATATCGCAACCTCGACTATGAAAGTATGAATGAAGGACTCCGTAAAGAGAGAAGGAGCGAAGCTATGCGTGCGGTGGAAGTGGGCGATGAGTATGAAGTTGTTTATGACAGGACACAAGCTTTCATTGCGCGCTTCCGGAATGTCAATAACATAGTGCGAGATGGATTATTCAATTTGCTTTGGGTTTGGTTTCTTTTTAGCTTTTTGCCATGGATACGCCATGTTTTGCGAGAAAGAAATCGTCGAGCTGTAGAGGGACGCAGGACGGAAAGACCTTAGAAGCAGAGAAAAGGCAAAATAATGTGTGTTTGGTTGTTAGGACGCCTGTTTAGGCCAGCGAGTTATGAACTAGGTTTATGATGAGATCTTCAGAGGGATTCATGTTTGACGTTCGCCTCAATAGTAATTGTTAGAGCTAGTAAATAGAAAACAACAACAGCGTTGGAAATTTCCATAGATTTCTCTCCTGTCGAAAAAATGTTGCACAGTGGACTGGAGAAAACTGGATGGTGCATGGGATCTGCTGAATCACGATTTTTTTGTATTACTGATGCTTATGCAGACAGGCTCAAGAGTTCAATAGACTTTCCATGCTTCACTCAAAGCTCAAGAAATGACTCATTTGTCACCACATATAATTACAAGCGCACATGATATCTTCACCATATCGTTCATCATCCCTAAAAGTTGCAAGTATCAAGTAAATTAATTCATGTACGTATGAATCTTTCTGCATACTACTCTTCACCGCCATGGACCAAGCACTCAACACCCTACCTCTCGAATACCCCTCTCAGCCTTACTGCAACGTTCCATTAAGCACCAAGTTTCTACTCGAGCTTCCTACATACACCGTCTTGGGATACTCGCTAATAAACCAATTTTGGGTTACCGGATCCCAGTTACTGATATCACGTCTCGTGATGCCGTATCTGAAGGTATCGGATTCGTGGGGTTCGAGCTCCATGTCGTCGAAGCCGCGGAGAACGATTTTGGGGTCGGTGGGTCCGCCGAGGGATATGTACTAGGTGGTGGGGTTAGTGGGTTGTGTAGTTGTGTGGTGGTATGGGAGGGGAGGGGATAGGGGGGGAGGGAGGAAGAGAAAGTAGCGGGGAGCTTACAAGTTGGGGAATTTCGGTTCCAGCAATCTTGCCTGTGTTCTTGATTGTAGCAGTAACGGTATAAAGCACATCATACAAACCAGGATTGCCACCCGGTTCACCACCAGCAGCGAGAAGAGGTTGTGGGGTGCTATCCTTTGAATGAGGAGGAGCTTGATCGCTTTGATTTGCGACCACAGGACCATCAAGATAAGGATACACATAAAGAGGAACCTTGTGGAATCCTGGTGGGAATTGGGCAGCTGATGCATTGTAATTGATTTTACCAAATGTTGGAGCTGATGATGTTTGTCCTTTGGTGGGTGTGTAAGGGCGAGCATGCTTGCTTTGAATGCGCAAGTCAGAGTATGAGAACGTGGTATATGAAAGACCGAAACCGAATTCGTAGGATGGCTCGATATTCTTGGCGTCGAAGTGACGATAGTCAATGAATACACCTTCCTTGTAGTTCTGTTGTGGATCCGGAGAGGAGATGGTGTAATCGACATCTACACCCCAATCTTCACGAGACTTTCCCCATGTGAAGATGGACTTTGCTTGTGGGTTAACTTCACCGTATAAGACGTCTGTAATTGAGTTTCCGGATTCTTGACCAGGTAAACCAGCCCACAGGATGGCAGTTACATTGGGATGATTCTTGTATGCCTCAATAATAACGGGTCCGATTGTGTGGAGGACAATAATCGTGTTTTTGTTGATAGATGCAACAAGATCAATAACAGCATCTCCATTACCCCATAATGTGAGATTATTTCTGTCTCCTTGGTTGCCGTCGACTGTAATAAAAGCTTCTCCACCATTTGCATTGGCGAAGACTAGTGCTACATCAGCACCTGTTGCAGCTGCAGTGATAACGGCGAAATCGTAATTGTCGCTGACGTTTCTAACGATGGTCGAACTATGACCATATCCTTCTCCTGCCTTGGCTTTCAATGCTGTGACTGGAGATATCAAATAAGGAAAGTTTGCAGTGCCAGAACCCCAACCCTAAAGTAAGAAACACGGTTAGTGGATTTCATCAATCAGGTTCTGAATGGGGAGCATACCATTGCAAGCGTGCCAATATTACAACCTCGATCTCCACAAGCGTTTGGGCCACCTGGGTTATCATGGGCATCTTCTCCAATAATAGCCAAGGTCTTTGGATTTTTCAATGGCAATGCACCTTTCGTGTTCTTCAATAGAACGGTCGACTTTGCACCAATTTCGCGAATGAGTGGGGCATGATCACCTTGCACATTGACATGTTGGTTAATTTGGGTGAAGTCTTCGTTAGCCAGGGGATGTTGATAACCATAGGTACTGAGATTCCAAGAATTGAAGTTCACTGGAACTTTGGCTGTATCTCTGCCAACTTTATAGTATGCGGACATGATTCGAACAACCATATCATCAAGACGCCATTGAGGAATGGTTCCATTTAATACGGCGTTGGTCAGATGAGTTCCCCAGTAAGTGTTACCTGAAGCAAGATTTTGATCTCCAGCCATGGTCATACTAAGTAAAATTAGCTCAGATTCCTTCTGTGAAGATGAGAAAACTTACTCAAGCCCGGCCAATGCACTAGCAACTCCAGAATGCTGTGCCCACCAATCACTCACAACTAGTAAATGCTATTAGCCTATACTTATGTCAACAATTCTAAGTACATACCAAAACCTTGAAAGTCCAATTCATTTTTCAACAAGTAATTAAGGGTCCAACTATTCTCTGATCCATAACTTTGATTAATACGATTGTAGGAACACATGACGGCACCGGCACCTGCGCGAACAGCATCTGCGAATGGCCTGTACAATCATTAACTACATCCCGAGATGATATATTTGACACTCACCATAAATAAAGTTCGTGCATGGTCTTATCATCCACATTTGCGGATAATGCAGCATTTCCGGGGCCAGGCTCCCTGAAATGTTCTTGCTCATTCATAATAAAATGTTTAGCGCAAGCGACGACTCCAGCATCCTCTGCAAGAGAGAAATTGTTAGCATTCATCCTCGTATGTGAAATTTTGAAGACAGAAAGTTGTTAAAAGGGATAAGCAGTCTTACGAATTCCTTCAATTGTTGCCATCATACTAACTCCTGTAAGAACAGGGTCTGGGCTGAAACCTTCCCAATTCCTTCCACCTGCCGGTACTCTTCCAATTGGACCTATTCCAGACTGATTAGATCCAGCATTGAATAATATGGCAAATTGCTTACCAGCTACAGGGCCCAATTGAACATCGATACCCTTTCCCCGATGTTCCTGGCCCATAGCAATACCTCGAGCATTAATCAAGTCATAACTCCATGTTGCAGCAGCATTAATTCCAGCAGGGAACGCAGAATTCTGATCAGCTAGTCATCACGCGTCAGTCATTATATAGTCTTCATGTTGCAAGGGAACTGACTAAATCGAATGCCGAGAGGAGAATCTTGGAGGCAAAGTCCCGGGAAACCCAATCGTGGAATTGTACCAGTATTTCCTACACAAGATTCACCTTCCCAACCAACACCGGTGGTAAGGTTAACTTTCTCAAGGAGAGTGAGCTGGCTAACAAATTTTTTTGCTTTGGCGTATGCATCTGCCCAATCACCATTGCCATTCATCCATGGAGATGGATAACTAGGAGGAGAGAAATCTCCATCGTTTTGAGCAAACGCAGAGGTTGCAAAGAATACAGCTGATGTAAACAATACTAAGAGCTTCATTTTCGTAGCAATTGCTCGAGAGCTTTCTGGAGATGAAAGAGAGAAAATAGAAAATTCTGGGGTCCCTCCTTCCTCTTTAAGAGAAAAATGGTAGGGATTTGCATTGAGCTGAGAGGGAAATTACGAGGGTCATAGTGAATACTGAGGGTAATAAAAAATCTCCTCCGCATATGAATCATATCGTAATTGGACTTTCGTGCAGCGTGGTAATTTCACACGGCATCATGCATATGGCTCGGGTAATCTAAACTAGCTATAGCTTCATCTGCACGTTTCCGTGTCAAATTGGAAGACTATGAACTCACATAGCTCTTCCCCAGATTATCAAATTAAAGTAAAATTTCCTTGTATATACCCGATGGCGGGACCCAAAAGTCTGGGGTTACTGGGGTCTAGCTTCGGAGGCTAGGAATGACTTTGTTCCTATCTATATGAATGGCTCGAGCGACGAGCTGCTCCGAATGTGCACCAACAAGAACACTCGACATGCATATACAATCGGTCCGAGAGTGTGACCGACGAACACTTGGGACGAGTTGTTCTTACCTAGGTATTGCAAGGTATCATGGTTCCGAATAGTGAATCGAATTCCCCTCACTTGGCGGGGTAGTGATACAAATTTGATGGTCATTTGTGTTTGTGCATCCAATACATGCAAAGTTAGGCAGGGTTGGCATCGGGTAAAGTACCGCAGATATGGTTGGTCATTTCATTTGAGTTCATCTTGGGTATTCTCCCATGACCATCACGAGAAAAGGAAACTTTCCCTAAGTCATGTGTCGTACTGTTGAGGCCAAGAACGAACGGCGCAGCGGCGAGCGTTTGGAGGCGCGGATATTAAGATGACAGAATGTGAACCGGTATTGAGCCGTTCATGGAACCAAATAACTGGTCAAGATTGAAACACGTGAGGAAAACAAAAGACGGCATGCCAATCAGTGATGACTTTGATTTGCCAACTACCTAACCTGTCCACGGTATCTTAGAGCTTAATCGTGTCAAGGAACCGGATGCTTTTAGTACTTAAAATACTACCTAGGTAGGCTCCTAGGAGATCAAGATAGAATAATGATATTACTTCGGCATTTAGACGTAGGGGATAGAATTGCTCGCTTAGTAATGAAAATGAAGGGTAAAATATGCCTCTGGCTTGTAACAATTGATTTTGAGATATTTTCTTACATTCTCTCGAAGAAAAATGAATCGATAGGAAGCCATGCCTTGCAATCATAGGTTTTCGTTTCTTCATGCCCAAATCATAATGCTGTTGATGATATTAATGAGTAAACTTAAGAGAGATATTTTGATGTTCTACATTTCGAAGTTACATCGAAATGGGTGGGGCGGCAAAGCCATACCTAATATCGACCCTCAACCTCTTTTGCCCTTCAACGGTTTCCAGCTTGAGAGTTCATGGCATCACATCACGCCTCGAGACTACGGCATCCGGTTAATAGAACAAAATGCCAACACTCAAGCCTTCGGACAACCAGAAAGTCGTCTGAAAGTTGATTGGCGGAGACACACCCGAGCAATCAAACAGCTTTAGTTGTGAGATCTTTCCATGCGGAGCAACCCCCGCCGGAATGTAACCCGACTCATGCAGGGTGCAGTGAACCACACAAACAAGAAAAAGAAAAGAAAACTCTTAACACCCCACTTTGCTTTCAATATAGAGCAGTATCAAGCATCTACATGTATCTAATATCGATAACAAGTCTTTGTGGCTCAGTTGGTTAGAGCGTTGGTCTCATATTCCTATATGAGGTGATTGTCAACAGTCACTTTAGCCATCCAAAGGTCGAGAGTTCGAGTCTCTCCAAGGACAATTGATTTTTGTACTTTTTTCTTGATGGAATTCCACCCCGCTATTTCGTTTTGCGAACAGATGAAAGGTTTCTTGCTCTTTTGCCCCACCCATTTACGGATTAGACGTTGAACTAACTAACTGCCTTCGAATTCATCTAACAGCAAAGAATGGATTGTCTCGTCTGTCGTGAATTACATCATCTTGTGAATCACCCATCGAGAGATCATTGCAGCAAAGTTGCAGCAATACTTAATACTTTGTGAGGAGAATAGGCTGATAGAGAACCCGATGAGTATTCTTGCCTACATCTACACATGTATGTATCTCTATATTGATACACGAGAAATCGATAAGAACTGTGAAAATCTCAGATAACACCGGCAAGAAATCGATCATGTAGTTTTTGGACTTTTGAAGATACTTTCTTCGATCAATTCAGACCTTCTCCTCACTTCGTCGGCAGCAAGTTCCAATTCACTCTCGCTGACAATATCTTCTCCTCCTCATATTCTTGGCATCTAAAGCATTTCAGACTGCCTTCGTGATCACTACAGTTTATCAAGTGGATAGTTTCTCCTCGTATTTCCCAAGGCCGTCTTAATTCTACCAAACACATAAATGTTTCGGGAGTTTGAAAAGTGACCATAGCATCGAAATACTTACTTACCTCTATACAACCAACGCAAGTGCCCACATAAATGGTCACAAATGTTTAGATGCAGCATTCACTCCTTCCATTACAAATACAGTCTGTATCCAAGTCCGACTGGTGAATAGTTGTGTTTCGGTTTCGAAAAATGGGTGAATGTTTACTCCAACCGAAACTCTATACCCCGAGGTTCCCCTCAAAGTACGATGCTCTCATCTCCTTTAATATCTTATACAGGTCTTTTTCAAGTTTTGTTGCATATCTGAATTTCCCGACAGTTAATTGAATGCATTCTTTTGCGTTTTGTTGCACATCTTGCTGGCCCGAGAGTTAAATAGAAAGACTTAGATTAATTCTACTCGGGATTTGTTGCATATCTGAGCTGCCCGAGAGTTAAATAGATGGAATCAGGTGAGCTCTACTCAGCGTTTGTTGCATATCTGAGTTGCCAAAGATTTACATGGATGGACTTAAATAACTTCTAATAATAAATTTTGTTGCATATCTGAATTTAACAGGAGTTGATTACTTGATGTTCTTGAAATTGGCGAGGTAATCACTTCATAAAGTTCTTTTCCCCGATCACTTACCTAGGTACTGCTACGGCATAGTACTTGACGTTCTATCTACCTATCTCATGCTGCCTAATGAATAACATTCCCGTGAATATACAATTCTCTTGGCAAATACATTCCAAGGCAAATGACTACCATAATCGTACATGAGATGAATGCATACGGTTATTCAGCAAGTGAATACATCGTCACCAATTTCTACAATATGCAGACTGATCAGCAACAAGTTCGCCGTACCTAGGTATTCATTAGCTTTACGGTTGTAGTATGCATTCTATTACAACCGACTTCATTGTTTGACTAATACATATGCCATCATACCATAATACCATCATATCAAACTTGCGTTTCTTCAGCTCCTCTGTCCACAACATCTAACTCACTACTCTTTGTGTATTTTGAGCGCACATTAGGACTACAACATCCAAACCATTATTTTTCTCTGAGCATAGTTACTCCTGCGCACATCACTCGATCGATCACACATCTTTACACCATCTATCCGGATAGCTTCACAAACCATTCCAAACAACCCCATTATTCAACTTCTCAACACAACACAACCCAACCCAACCCAACCCAAACAACCACCCTCCAAACCATGAACACCACATCCCTCGCCTCCTACCCCATCCTCTCCTTCCCCATAACCACCCTCCTCCTCACCCTCTTTTTCATCTTCCTTCTCTACATCCCCTGCTTCCTCTACCTCTATCTCCGAACCCGTATTTTCCGTTTTTGGAAACGCAATATGGCGAAACGGATATCTCACTTCGAGGCTTTTGATCTCGCGCGTGCAGGGCAGGTAGAGGGAGTTCGAGGGACGCAAGGGAAGATGGTTAGAGATGGGAATGTGAGAGGAGATAAAAAGAGAAAATCAAAACGAAGATGGGATTGGGATTTAGAGAAAGGAGATGCTGAGGCAAAAGAAGAAGAAGAAAACGAATGGACGACGAAAGGGGAGATGGCGAAGGGATGGGATTTTGAGGGAGAGGAGATGAGGCAGGGAAGGAGATTGGGGGTTGCGGAGGAGAGTAGGTGGTTACATTGTGCGGGGAGGGATGGAGATGATAATCGGGAGGATGGGATGAGATTTGGGAGTGAAGATGGGGGAGAGGATGGGAGGGAGGAGTGGTATGAGATTCAGATGGATAAGGAGCTTGATGGTTGAAGAGTGGGGATTGAGGATTGGGGATTGGGGGATAAATGGAATCCCCAGGGAGATGTAAATACAAGTGCACGGCATCATCATATTGTACATCTGGTTATCCACTCGATGGGAGACCTTCTCCCACCGTATCCGGAGACTCAACTCATCAGTCCATGGACTCATAGCTGCGATGCGAATGCTAGGTAGGAAGAACGGGATTTGTGGGGAGAGATGAGAGAACGTCCCAGGAAATTTGTTATAAAGGGATGGATCGGTAGCAGAGCTAGCTAGTCTCGCTCATGGCTTTTTCTAATATTTTTAAATACAGTATTGATAATAAATAAATTGAGTGTTCCTTCTTTCACTTACCTAGAATGAGAGATTTGTATGTGAGATGTGATATGGAATATGGAACATGGAATATGCTATCATGGATGTTTCGTAAGTAGATATATAGCTATCTACCTACCACACAAAACACAACCACATATCCAACAACCCTTCTTCCTACCAGCAACCAGTTACCAGGAACCAGGAACTAAAGAAAGCGAAGAAGAATCCTAAGAAAAAGAAAAGCAACCCACAAAAAAAATCAAGACTAGAGGGAAAAAGAATCACACGATGAAAGATCTTCCTCCCTCTATGAGATGATACTGTGATCAATTCCTTAGTACTGGTGTACACCGAGAGATAAAATTCAGATTCAGATTCAAGATGCTGTGAATAAATGTATCACGCACGATATGTGCGATATCAAATCTTTTTTTCCTGATTCAAACAAATCACGGATTAGTTAGATTAAGCAGATTGATTGGGAAGATTGAGTGATTCACAGGAATAAATAATACGCGAGGGGAAGAAAAGGAGGGCGGGGGGGGGGGGGGGTGTATGTATGTAGATGAAAGTTCTCAAACTCGAGGTCATATTTGGTAGTGATTATTAAGACGATGGGATTGAAGAGCTGACAGACTCCTGCAGTATTTCCAGAAAAAGAGAAAAATAATGCTTTTATTCAAGTGCGTATTGACTATTGACTCCAGGATGTGTGATATCCATGAAGTATCTATCGATGCCTTCCCATAACGTAGATAAAAATTTGAAAAGTGAAAATGAAAAGATGATTTCCCTCAACGCCATGCCATGCATCGGTCTACCTATCTGTCCACCATAAAAGAAAAAGAAAGAGTATGTATGTATGCTAGCTTAATAACTTTCCCACCGCCCATTCAACAATGTTCAATAATGAGAAAAAGAAATATTCGTAATGATAAATGAGACTATGCAAGAACTCCCAAACTATGCATCTATGCGCCAAACGATTGGATATGAAAATGTAAATGCGGATCAAAGCGCGAAATCAAATTCCTTGAAAGCAGCCTTGAAAGACTCAGCATCTTGTTTTTCCTCAGCTTCTGTCTGAGCACAATCTCTCCACTGGATTCTCTTTTCCAGACTTAAAAGTTTTGCGAGAACCGTTCTACCAAATTGGAGATTGAAGCGAACATTCCAATCAAATGGCATTGTAATGCATTTGGTAATTCCCTCTGGAGCCTCGTCCGTAGGAGGTGTCCAGATCCACACGCGGAAGAAATCGCCATCATTTTGACCGATTCCTGGATCCCTCACCTCGAAGGCTGGGTATTGAAGATTTTCGGCTTCGACTCGGAAGGCGGCTTCAACAAGACCCTTTTGGATGGTTTCAATAGGCGTAGGAATGAGCTGCCAATGTGTATGAACACCATTGCCTTTACTGATCTCATAGGTAACAGCGCCCAGCTTGTTTTCGCTGCGTCGTGCAATCATTTTTTGTAGCGCCTCCTTGTATTTGTTCATTTCAACGTAGGTGTTATTTTTTGACTCTTCCTCCGGGATTAGGGCCAATGTAGGCGAATGAGAGAGAGGAATGATCAACGCATGTGCAGGAAAGTTAATGCCTAAGGAAGCATTTGTGGTCGCTGTTGTCAAAGGTCCTTTTGCAATTGTCAAATATGCATCATCGCCGATTGAAGCAATAAGGTGAGTAGCCAAATTTGGATTTGAAAGACAGAAAAAACATTCACCGGGCCCAGGGGGTGGTTGTCTTTGACCTCTACGTCCTCGTCCACGTTTGTAATCATTGCCACCGCCATATCTAGAATATGGTTCCGGTTCAAGAGCTGTTCGTTTCCTCTCGTTGGGTCGAGCTACAAATGGCGACGCTGTGGTACCTGTGGGCAATGGGGCAGTTGGATCGACTGTTGCTTGTAACGTGAATGCATATAAGGCTTTCTGTTTCCGAGGATTGCCATGAGGGGCCAAGGAAATAAATCGAGTGAGGGGTCGAACATCAGGTTCATCTGAAGTAGGGGCGTGAAAGAAAGGTTCTCGCTCATAAAAATAATCTGGAGACACGGAAAAGTGATAACGAGGTTTCAAAGCTGCGCAAAGATCTGCGATATGATCTCCTGCAATAGGATCCTTCGAGTCATCAGGGATTGGTATTTTGGAACCCGTTCGGATCGATTTTGGCCACAACGTCGTTAAAAGAATATCCGCTGTGTGCGCTCCATGAAGAGCTTTCGCATCTCCAACAGTGTGAAAAGGTAAATATGATTCCTTCGATAAACCCCCAATTACATTTTCGTCGAGTTGACCACCGAGCGCAACTATTTTAATTCCTTCTGAAGTTTTCGTGGTACTTCTCTTTGCGAGATAGTGTAGGTTTGGACATATCTAAGAGCATGAGTATTGGTATTCCCCGCGTTCAAAGAGTGAATTAACGGACCTCCTCATCTTTCTCAATCTTCTCGATGATTCTTTTGGGCAAAGGTAATGACCCGACAGTGAAGTATGTAGGTAATGGTATGGGTATCTTTCCCATAATGAGGTCTGTAACTGTATCTTCGGCTTCTGTGTCTTCAGCTCCAGCGAAAAGGTTTCCAGCCACGATAGCAAGGGCAAAGTTATTCTTGAGTTGCAGCGATGTTAATTTAGTAAAGACATTGCGTATATGACCGTTCACGTCGCCGAGAACAATTCTGTCGATCAATTAGTTCAGTTCGCAGAAGGTGAGGTGAGGTGAGTTAACATGCGATGGTGATTGGAAGGACAAGCTCAGAAGTACCGCCAATACCTATCTTTATTGAAATTTTAAAAGAAGGAACTTACATCTTAGATGCCATGTTGATATTCGAAGCCGCCAGATTGTGAGAGAGCTGTAGGTTGTGGTGGAGGTCCAAAACAATAGAATAGTATGGTATCGTAATGATAATATTTACTTCAAAAGTTCTTTGCGACGCGATTTGACTTCTCGATAAGAAAGCTCAAAAGCTCATATCTTAGCGTCACGCTAATGCAAGGACGGCAGAGTGGAGACTGTTGCTCAGGCGGTCAAAAGTGGCAGAAAATGATGGCAAAAAGATGTGAAATAGAAGAGAACTTAAGGAGAATGGATGATAAATTTGAGTATAGAGATGAGAAAGGAGAGGAAAGAAAAGAAGCAATGCGGTGAAAGAAGAGGGTCAAAAGGTACTCTAGATAGAGTTGTATGTATTGACAATTGAGAGACTTGATCCATTGACTACCTACCTACCTCCCTACCTACCTAGTACCTACTGATGAACTCTAGCTGGACACTGCTTATATAAGCCATTATCCATTTCTTCTTATCAAAAAATAAAAATTTCCATTCTCTCTGCGATTGTGGATTTTCGTTGATTGGGGACGACATAACTTTACGATGCCTGCCACAACCTCCGGAAGAATAATTAAGACCCGTAAGGGCAAGAAGGGTACTGCCCATCAAAAGAATCATCGATGGGAATCATTTACCACAAAAATCTCGAAATTAAACTCCCTCGATCCATTACGAAGAGTTCGTCGTCATGACCTCGATGCCGAAGATACTTCTGCGACAACCTCATATTTCAAAGCCAGTCTAGAGAAATGGACCGAACTCAATTTGTCGTCTGGGTTCCAATCCTTTACGGAGGAGGTCCTTCCATTATGCGACAGTTTACCGCAGATTCTACATTTCCAGGATAAGATTATGGGTCTCTTCGTCACTTATATGGAGGGAAACCAAAGGGAATCATTGGAGCCATTGCTGGAGTTAATTACAGACTTTGCCCATGATTTGGGTCCTCGATTCGAAAAACACTATGCGAAAGCTTTGGAATTGGTTACTTCGACGATAGCAGGCACTGGAAAAGATGTCGCAGTTATAGAATGGTGTTTTACATGCCTAACATTTTTGTTCAAATATTTGTCCAAACTTATTGTACCAGATTTACGACCTACATATGATTTAATGGCACCATTACTCGGAAAAAGTGCCCAACCTCCACATATTGCCCGCTTCGCTGCGGAGGCCATGAGCTTTCTCATCAAAAAAGCTGGCGCACCTGCCCACCGAGCGAAGGCTCTTCCATTAATCGTAAACCATGCGAAATCAGACCTTTTGAGTATCGCGGATACCAAACAATTCGGCCTATACTATCATGGAATAATGACCATGTTTGCGGAGGCTATGAAGGGTAATGGTTTAACCGTACATACGTCGGGTCCAACCATTTTCAAATCTCTTTTCCTCGCCATTGAAGAGAGTGACTTTGGAGAGAAGGAGGCAATGCCATGGATTGACGTTATATGTGGTGTTTTAACCAGTATAGTTCATCATACAACCCCGGAGACAATCAAAGAGATCCTTGAACTAGTACTGGAGGAGGCAAACACTATTACCGATTCCTTTACACAGTCAAAGACAATGTATGATTTCAACAAACTTTTACTTTCAGCGCGGACCATAGGGATTGTAGCTGGTGTTCGACGAGCTTCGAGAGTTCAGAATTGGCCAGCCTTGTTACAGGCATTATCTAATATTTTAAAGGCAGTGTCCAAGAACGCATCTTTTGTGGCAGCCGACGACAAACACTTGGATTTGTGGAAATACCTCATTGAGAGTATAGCTATTGCTCTGACATATTCTCCAATGGATTCTACAATTCCTTTTATTGCCCCTTTTATGGATGCCCTGACCAAGG